GTCGAAGGTCCTACCAAGAGCGGTTCTCACTTATCAGTTCTCACCGCGTGCTTGGCACTTTCCCCAGTTCTCATTTAGTCCTCACAACAACAGCACTGCATCCCCATTTTGCAGAGCAGGAAACTGAGGCGCAGAGAGGCTGCCTAACTTGCTTGAGGCCACACAGTTGTTATGTGTAGGAGCCAAGCCTCAGACCTGAGTCAGCCCGGTAACAGAAGTCTCACTGGACTAATGTTGGAGAAAGTCCTGGAGGTGAGAGTTTCAGGGGGTTCCTGGGGAGGCTATTGTTCTGTCCCTGAGTCCTCCCTGAGCACATGAGAGGGGACATTTGCTGGCTAATGTAATACACCCCAGGATCCCAACACCCTACCAGAGGATGTCGTAGCCAAGGGGACCAGGCTGAGTGAAACCGACACCGCCCTGGCTCTCGCCCTTCTGGGCTCTCACTCTACCTTCGTGAGACTTCCAGCTCCTCTCCACCTCCGGAAAGCCAACAACCAGCACTGTGTATGCAGACTCCTTCCCACAAAGCTGGGGCATTCCTCCTGGCTTCTGAAATATGCAGCCTGGGCAGGACTTCTCCTTGCCAGGGAATTCCCTGGTTGTTTCAGTTCTCTTTCTTGTTGGAAACTGCTGTGACCCAAGTTATTAAGGACACAGGCACCATGAACACATCTCTGCCCAGTCACCCTCCCACACCAGGGCTGTGAGAGGAGCCCTCATGACGCATGATTGCAACAGAAGGCAGTGGGAGGGAAACTAAAGCAGTGAGAGGGAAATTAAGGCCGAGGGAGGAGGTAGACCTTGCCTGAGGTCACATGTCTAGGGACAGCAAAGCTCCCTGCCAGGTTTCTTCCCACTACCTTACTCTACTGGTGGGCAGGAATAACTGAGGATCACTGAGGTCTTGCCCAGACTGGAGTCCCAAAGAGGCGGCCCTTGCCCAGGGTTTAGGGACACTGAGCAGGCCAGGTGGTCTTTAGACCAGGGAGACTGATGAGAGGAAAGGCTCTGGAGCATGGCCAGCCACCTTCGCTCAGTGGGCTCAGCCTCATCCATGTGCTTTGTAGCCCTTGCAGTGCCTTGGAGTGACCATTCAGATTTTCGGTCATTCATGTCTATCATTGCACTGAGTAGGGGTGTGGTGCCAGCAAGAAGCCTGGGACCAAGTCCAGCCACCTACCCTGCACATGGCTTCTCTCCCGCCTTGGAGTGAGTGGCCATTCAGGTTTTCGGTCATTCTAAGCTGCCTCACCTACACTTGGCTTTTCTCCCACACAGCAAAAGCAGCAGGTCTGGCATGCTCTTGGAACCGCTCCTTTAGGTTACCACTGCCTTCCCTAGATTTCTAGAGAAGGAGTCATAGCAGGTCTCCAAGATTTGTCAGAAGAGGATTTTCTCAGTGATCTGACCTTTGCTCCCCACCCTTCCCCAATACCAGGAAGAGTCAGGTTACAGGAGATGGGGGAAAGACACAAGAAAAGGCAATTAGAGAGATGCAAAGACCGCAATGGAGGCTTCATTGAGCTTCAGTCACCTGTCCTGCTTCGTCTTGTGGCTAGCAAACATCTTGTGGCTCTGGGGGCTGGTGCTGCCCCTCACTGCCCTCTCCCACCAGACCCCCACCTCTCTGCTTGACTTGCTATTGAGGAACCAGGAGCCACACTTGTTTCCAGACCCATAACATGGCCCCAAATTATGACCCAGAAGGAGTATGTGGCACAGCTGTCAAGCCCTCTGGACCATGGGGATGTCCTGAGGCCTGCGAGTCAGCTCACATAAGTCCTCATCTGGCTATGCTATAGATTTACTGTGTAATCTTGGCTGGTCACTTTCCATTGCTGAGCTTCCAGGTCAGTTATTTGAGCACCTGGCCCTGAAGCTCTCGGGGTGGTCAGAAAAGGCCCAGGAGTAACCAGTGATGTCCCCAGAGGAGTAGCCCAGGAGAGAAGCAGACTCAGAGATCCTTAGAGGAAATGGCCTCCAAGGCCACCATGCTTAAGGGTCCCACGTGCCTCAGCCTAGAAGAAGGCAGGAGGTGAGCTACTGGAATGAGTCAGTATCTGTCCAAAAGAGCCAGTGCCAGAGTCCTTCTTCTCCCCTTCAGTTGACCCAGCAGCAGGTCTGCTTTGGGGCTGTCCTCATCCTCCCTACTTAGATGTCCTCCCTATTCACCGTGCCTTTCCAAGGCCTCTCAGCCTTCATTGTCAATGATAACTTATTACTTCACTTCCCATCTGTTGGCTTGTCACTAAGGCATTATTATTGTTTTACTGATTGTCCTAGAGATTATATCATACATCTTTGACTTATTAGTGTCTACCTTAAATTTGTAGTTCTATTGCATCCTGGACAGTGTAAGAACCCTGGGACACTGTAATTACATTTTTATTCCTCCTGCCTTTGATGTTATTGTTGCCATGTACTTTAATTATACACATATTCTAAACACATTTTAAAATGTCGTCATCCTATTATCCTTAGCAAACTAACACAGGAACAGAAAACCAAATACTTCATGTTCTCACTTATAAGTGGGAGCTAGATAAGGAGAACTCATGAACACAAAGAAGAAAACGACAGATACTGAGGTCTTCTTGAGGGTGAAAGGTGGGAGGAGGGTGAGGAGCAGAAAAGATAACTATTGGGTACTAGGTCTAACACCTGAGTGATGAAATAATCTGTACAGCAAACCCCCATGACACATGTTTACCTGTGTAACAAACCTGCGCATGTACCCCCAAAACTAAAACAAAAGTTTAAAAAACAAAATGTCATTATTATTATTTTCATATAGGTAATATTCACTTTGATATGAATAAATCCATTTCCAATGCTCTTCTTTTTTTTCTGCATTTCTATGCTTTCATTTGAGATTACTTTTCTTCTGCCTGAAGAACACTAGAATTTACGTTAGAGTAGGTAACTATTGACAAATTCTTCAGTTTTTGTCTGAAATTGCCTTTACATCATCTTCATTTTTGAAGGATTCTTTATCTGGGTATGAAATTCTAAGTTGGCAGTTATTTTGGAGTAAAATGTCTTCAACAAACTAGGAATAGAGGAAAACATCCTCAATTTGAAAAAGAACATTCGCAAAAATCCTACAGCTAACGTCATACTTACTGATACGAAACCAGAAAATTTCCCGCTAAGATCAGGCACAAGACCAGGATGTCCCCTCTCACTATTCTTTTTCAACATCATACTGGAAGTTTTAACCAATGAAGTAAGATAAAAAAAAGGGGAAAAAAAAGGTATACATATTGGGAAGGAAGAAAAAGAATGGTCTTTATTTGCAAATGACATATTGTCCATGTGGAAAACCCAAAGGAATTGACAAAAAAACAAAATTCCTGGAACTAAGAAGTGATTAAAGGAAGATTGAAGGATACAAGATTAATACATAAAATCATTACCTCCCTATATGCCAACATGAACAAGTGGAATTTGAAATCAAAAACAAAATGGCATTTCCATTTAATATCCAAAAAAGAGATATTTCTGTATAAATCTAACAAAGTATGTACAAGATCTATATGAGAAAATCCATGAAACTATGATGAAGAAATCAAAGAACTGAATAATTGGAGCAATATTCCATGTTCATGAATAGGAAGATTCAATACCGTCAGAAGGTCAGTTCTTCCCTCCTTTATCGATAGATTCGATGCAATCTCATCAAAATCCCAGCAAGTTATTTTGTGGCTATTAACGAACTTATTCTAATATGGAGAGACAACTTGAAAGAGCCAGGACAAAACTGAAGGAGAGCAGAACTGACGGACTGCCAGTACCCAGCTTCAAGACTTACTGCAAAGCTGCAGCCGTCAAGAACAGACAAATAGATCAATGATACAGAGTAGAGAGCCCAGAAATAAACCCACGTGAATACAGTAAACCAATCTTTGAAAAAGGACTAAAGGGAAAGCATTGGAGAAGAAAAATGGTTTTTTCAGAAAATGGTGCTGAGACAACTAAACGTTGATAAGCAAAAAAAAAAAAAAAAAACAAAAAAAAACTTACACGTCACGAAAACTAAAATGTACATATAGGGCCGGGTACAGTGGCTTGTGCTTGCAATCCCAACACTTTGGGAGGTTGAGGTAGGTGGATCATGAGGTCAGGAGTTTGAGACAAGCCTGGCCAACACAGTGAAACTGCATCTCTACTAAAAATAGAAAAACTAGCTGGGCGTGGTGCCGGGCACCTATAATCTCAGCTACTAGGGAGACAGAGGCAGGAGAATCTCTTGAACCTGGGAGGCGGAGGTTGCAGTGAGCCGAGATTGCACCATTGTATTCCTGCCTGGACAACAGAGCTAGACTCCACCTCAAAAAAAAAAAAAAAAAGTACGTATAGAACTATCAAACTCCTAGGAGACAATGCAGGTGATTTGAACACACTGGTGGACTATGAATTGCTGGGCCACGTGAAGGGTTAGCATCTTCACATTTAGCCACTTCCAGGGCAGCCAGAGCCCACAGTGCTGGACCAGAGACCATCTTCACCCCTTCCAAACTACACACAAACCAGCAGAGCTGGGGCGGCGGGGAGTGGGCATAAGAGACCGCCTTCTTGCTGTTCTGCAGGAGAGACCATCTTCTATGAGTGCCCATTTTCTACCCCCTCCATCCTCCCAATCCCCAGGCCCTGCCCTCTCCTGAAACCCTCAGGGAAGTGCCATGTTGCCTACAGTTTCCTTGGTCAGCCTCTATCCAGCCAGAATGCTCTCCACAGTCCCCCACATTCATGGGGGCTTTCCTGTCTAGTGGCCTTCCATCCCAAAAGGCTCTTTTCTCAACATGCCTGGGCTGCTTTGGTCCCATCCTACTGGGAGGTGGAGAGGAACTTTGCAGATACCCTGGGATCAGGTCATAACGTCCCTGGGGGTGGGGTAGGAGAAGCTGGCAGAACTGAAACCCAGGAAGGCACGCCATCTGTCTCAGAAGGGGCCCCACGCTGGGGTTTCTCGGCCTCGCAGCAGTGGAATTGCACTTCTGCAATGAAAACTTACACTTCATTTTCTTTCCTAAAAGGAAAAAGGAAGCATGTGACGAAACTGAAGTGTGTTCTGACACATCATGTCCTGAACTGCAGCCATAAGAGCCCTCCCCAGCCCGACCCAGATCAGCCCACTCCCTCTCAAGTGCTCACAGCTGTGGGACTAGAGCCAGATGTGTCCCGCCAATAAGGTAGGTAGAAGCTAGAGGGACTTGAACCCATGGGAGGGGAGAAAGCCTGGTGGGGCTGGGAGGAGGGCTCCCTCCACACACACTCTTTGGAGGGTCTTCCTCCTGCCTCATCCCACAGGATGGAGTTGCAGGCTTGGGTTTCTGTTTGCCCAGAACAGCTGGGATCCAAAAGACACAGGACAGTCTCTGGTGGACAGGCTCCTCTTTGGTGGGAGACTTCGGTTAGCTCTGGATGGTTGGGCTACACAGCAACAGTGAATCTTTCTTCCTGAGGGATTCTTTCAGGGTCTCTGGGCCATGAGATTAGTTTCTTGGAGTGAACTCTTGTGTTTTCAGCCAAGCCTGAGAGCATGGTTGCCCAGCCCAGCTGTCCTTGGCTCGGTCTATATCCCATACCTCAAGAAAAGGTTTTCTGGCCGGGCACGGTGACTTACGCCTATAATCCCAGCACTTTGAGAAGCCAAGATGGGCGGAACACCTGAGGTCAGGAATCTGAGACCAGGCGAGCCAATGTGGTGAAACTCCATCTCTACTGAAAATACAAAAATTAGCTGGGTGTGGTGGTGTGAGCCTGTAATCCCAGTTATGCGGGAGGCTGATGCAGAAGAATCACTTGAACTTGGGAGGCGAAGGTTACTATGAGCCAAGATCACGCTACTGTACTCCAGCCTGGGTGACAAAGACTCCATCTCAAAAAAAAAAAAAAAAAGCTTTCTTTTTCTTTTTTTAGAATCTGCTTCTCCCGAGTAGCTGGTTCCCTGCTTGGCTCAAAGGAGGACTACAGCCAGATGGGATGTGGGCAGAGGCGTATGTGTGTCTATGTCTTAGGGGAAAGGGAGTGCACTGAGGGGCTCCCTCACTGAAAGACTAAAAGGTCCCAGCCACTAACCTACTGCATCCAAAAGGCAGGAGGGGCAGCAGGTTCAAGACCTGGAGGGACATTGGGTTCCAGCCACCTGCAGCAGGCTCCCTGTCTCATGGCCTTTGAGACCCCATCCCATTTGTGGTCTCTCTGGGTGATTTCACTGTGTGGTGGGGGGGCTGGGGGGCTTCTCATTTAGCCACTTGGCAAATGTGCCCTGGACATTTATGGTGGCCAGGCTCTATCTGTACTGGGCAGTGGGACACAGGGCAGCAAGAACTGCAGCCCCAACCACACCCAGCCCTCAGGAGGCCTCAGGAACAGGGAGAGGAGCTGGGGGAAGACAAGACAAGGGCCCACAGAACTTGGGCATGAAATGCAAAGATGGAGTGAATGGGGAGTAAGGATGGCCAGGTGTCCTGGGGGATCCTCCCTGCTGTGGGAGTCAAAAGGCGGTGAAAGGTCACCTTTTCCAGGGAAGGGAGCTTCCTAGGAGAGGTAACATTTGAACAGGGACTTGAACCATGGGCAGTATTTGGACACAGAGTTTGGGATGGAAGAAGCATTCTTAGGAGAGAAATAATGTGAGCAAAAGCCTGAGGGCGTAATTAGTTATTCAAATCTGCTCAGCCCTTGGTTCTGTTGAAGGTGATGGCAGGTCCTGGGCCACATAGTGTTGGTGGATATGGCAGAGACTGTGTTCCTCACACCCATGCAGGAACAAAGCTAGTCATTGTAAGTGGCCTTCCAGGAAGTGCCAATAGTAACCACTTGGAGCGTGCTAGCTGTGTTTACTCTTCACTGGGGTTTCCAGGCAGCCTTTCTGGTGGCCAGGACCAGGCTAAGCATCCTGCTTCTGTGTCCCTCCAGACATCCTGGAGCTACAAGCACCTCTCTCCTCCACCAGTGGGTGCTCCCGAGTGTCAGCACTCAGTTCGTTGTTGAATCTGCTTCTCCCCAGTAGCTGGTTCCCTGCTTGGCTCAAAGGGGACTCAGTAAGGATTTGTTGTGTGACTGTCAGATATCAGGAAGGTATAGCTGGTCTGTCTGCCCTCCCCTTTCCAAGAAGCAGGGCCAAATTGTCTCCAAATAACCAAAGGATCACCAAAACCCTACCCTGCAAGCCAGCATGCCTTATCCCTTTCATAGACAAGTACAGCCATACCTATCCTACAGAAATCCAAACGTCAGAGAGAGTAGGTAGCATGTTATATTCAGAGTATGGGAGAGACTAAGCTCATGACCTTCCACACCAATTCCAGCCTTGGCTCCATCCTGGCTTGGGCAGAATGATTGTACAAATAGGTGCAGGGCCCCTGAGGGGGGCCAGTGTGTCTGGGCTCAGGGAGCCACAGAGGTCTCTGGCTCAAGCTGAGCCTATGTGTCTGTGTTCCATCTTCCCAGGCCTTCCTCCATGGAGAAGCCCCTCACGGTCCTGCGAGTGAGCCTGTACCACCCCACGCTGGGTCCATCTGCCTTTGCCAATGTCCCACCACGGCTGCAGCATGACACCAGCCCTCTGCTGCTCGGACGGGGGCAGGACACCCACCTCCGGCTGCAGCTCCCCAACCTCTCCCGCCGTCACCTGTCCCTGGAGCCCTACCTGGAGAAAGGCAGTGCTCTTCTGACCTTCTGTCTCAAGGCCCTGAGCCGCAAAGCCTGTGTGTGGGTCAACGGTCTGACGCTGAGGTACCTGGAGCAGGTCCCCCTCAGCACCGTCAACAGAGTCTCCTTCTCAGGCATCCAGATGCAGCTTTGTGTAGAAGAAGGCACATCCCTGGAGGCCTTTGTCTGCTATTTCCATGTCAGCCCTTCACCCCTGATTTACAGACCTGAGGCTGAGGAAACTGACGAATGGGAAGGCATCTCCCAGGAGCAGCCTCCCCCCGCTGGTTCAGGGCAGCAGACTCCCGGTTGCCTGGGGTTTCTCCACGGCCCTTCCCAGACTTGGGACAGTGCTCTCCAGCCAAGCCCTGGAGGAGGAACAGAAATACAGCTCCAGAGGGAACCCCCAGACGGTGAACTCTGCTAGCCCTGCCACTAGATCAAGCCTCTGCTAGACAAAACAGGGCTTGAAATATTTGAGCTGCAACATGCAAGGTTGACATGCAAAACCCACCGGCTGCCTTGCTCATAATGAACCAATTCTGCAAACATGGAACAAACAGCCCAGGGTGGAGAAGCACCCTCTGTGGCCAGAGCTATGCAAGGTAACGGGAACTTCATATATTTCTAGAGGCCCTAAGGGTTCTGGGGAGCCTCTCTCAGCATTTCCACACATTTCCTCCTCTCGTCTGACTAGGAGTTACTTTATGTTGTTCATTTTGCCTGCTGCTTAAGAGCGGGAGTTTGAGGTTGCACCAGGAATGCGTGGACACATGTAACAATTACATTTGTGGTAGCTTGGGGTTACTTTCAGCTTTCAAATACCCATAGGCACTCGGGGCTTAGGAAAGCCTGAGTTTAATAAACTGCAAGTATTTCATTAAGCTGGCACACCCAGTAGGATTCCCTGATCCCCAGATGGGCCACATTGTCATGCAGAGGTGGGAGTGGGAAATACAGACGAGGTGTAAGAGGATATTGGAAAGGTGGGACTCACATTTCTGGAAAGGATGTAGGCAGGGCTCAGGGTTTCCTGAGGATGGGAGCTGAGAGCTAGGAGCTGGGCCTGCCTGGAAATTCATCGTCCCCATCAACATCCTCATCCTCACACTCCCCATTCTCTGTCACTCCTGCATCAAAGCCTTGGCTGACCTGAGGTCAAAGGTCTTCAGGGAATGAGGGAATGGGGTGGGGGTTTGTGTGAGAATTCAGCCCAGCAGTTATATCGCTCAAGGTGGGTCACACACCAACGGGTATGGGGGTGGTCCTTCCAAATAAGAGACTCATTAGGAGCCAGGCGTGCCAAGGGTAGGAGGATTTTCTCAGTGAGCAAGGGGAGCAGCCACTTGCCACGCCATGCTGAGAAGGGGAGAGCATGGTTTAGAAATAACATTTACCAGTGTGATGCAGGGAGGGATCTCCATGGTCACCGTGATCGCAGACCCCACTATCCAGGGAATCCGAGGCTCAGAAGGCATGGCCCTTTTCTCCTGGCTGACTCAAATCCCCAGGTCTGCAGCTGCCAACAATTTGTTTTCTGCCCGAGAGGCAGATCGTTTTGCACCCAGCACAAGCTACAAGGAGGTCCAACTTCACTCACAGGCCCTGAGCATCTTCTCCATGAAGGAAACAGCAGTGGGCAAGACCCACGCTTGCCCTGGCTTGGGAAGCTTCCTCTCCTATAGGGATGAAGCAAAAACACTCAGACCACAGCCACAAGGCAGGGAGAGTGGGCTGCCAGGAAGGGGCTGTCCGATGCTGTGAATGGCCCCAAAGCAGTTCCTCATGCTTTCAGCAAACCTTTGCCAAGCACCCACCTTGTCCGAACAGAACCAGAAGTGAATAAGGCAGACTCCCTCAGGGAGTTTACGTTGTGCTCAGGAAAGTCGGCATTCAGGAGTGACTTACTCATTCGATCGCCATTATGATTAGTGCTGCAGTCCTTGTGTTTTTCTCTCCCCTCCAGCTGGGCTCACATTCTCTTAGACGGCCTTGCTTGCCAAGTGCCTGCTACGTGCTATGCGTAGTGCCCCGCTTAAGGCTCATAACATCCTAGACAGACAATGGTATTCACCACACTTTACAGATTAGGAAACTGAAACTTGGAAAGGTTTCATTTCTTGCCCAACATCACACCATCAGTAGCTGTGTGCTTTGGGCAAGTGATTTAATCTGCTCTTGCCTCTGTTTCTCCCTGTGGAAAATGGGTAAGATAATAGTACTACCTGCTAGAGTTATGAGGGTCTTAGGACTTGGTACCTGTAAAGTACTCAGTCGGTGCCCAGCACACACTTAATAAAGGTTAACTACGATCATGAGACCTCAGAGAGGAGGGCTTACCATCCACATGGAGCTAAAGAAGGCTCACACCCCAGGAAGCTGGCTTCGGAACCCAAGGACTTACCTATGCTCCATGATTCCTCAACTAGGGATTTAATTGTAGCCTGGTGGGCAACCGGGAGGGGATTTTAACCTGTTCCTTGCATCAGAAGGTCCAATAGGCAGGGTTGGTGTAACAGGAGATGCCCTGGTAGGGCTAGCAAGGAGAAGAAGCCAGTATACTTCGGTCTGATATAGTTCGCTGTCTTGGAACTGGCTTTATATTTTACATACAGATTAAAAAAGCAGCAGTGATCTGTCACAGACCAAAGTGGTCCCCCTGCCAACTCTGCATTACAGAGCAGCCGCCCACATACAGAACCTGAGAAGCCACGGTCTGGCGACTGCACCTGAACACCAAAGGCTGGAGAGAGGAACTGGTGGGGAAACACCAGAGTCCCCAGGGTGCTGTTACCCGGCTCCACCACAGAACCTTGGGAACCAGCTGCTGCCCCTGAGTGCCCCTCTCCAGGGCCTCAGTGAGCAACTCTTCTCTTAAGTGAGGAGTAAACCCTTCCCAGATAGGGTCCTGAGAGAGGGAGCAGTTCACTTCTTCCACAGGGGACTCTGCAACTCAGACCTTTGGGGTGAAGCATCCATGAGGCCCTCAGGGACCCAGGATGAACTGCATAGCAGCTGAAGGAAGACAGCCAGACCAGGGTGGGAGGGAGCCAGGAAACATCTGGCTTGCTGTTTTAGACTCCACCAGTTCACAGTTCAAACAAGCTCCCCAGGAAACTCACACTTTGCCCTGTACCAAGTTTTTAAGACAGTTAAGCTCTGCCCATCTGAGACTTCACTTCTCTTGAGTGAAAATCACTGAAATCATCAGATCTATGGCACCCACCCTCACTCTCTCCTAACAGCTGGAACTGTCAGGCTGGCTCCAGGTCCTGGTCTTCACACTTAATATCACTCTCCTTCACTTGCTCAGACAGCCAGAGCAGGCGGGTGATTTCCTCCCAACAATCTCCACTGCATTCTCTTAGCTCCCACCGCAGGGCAGCTCATGTGCCTGAGTGAACGTGCATGCGTGTGTGCACACACACACATGCACACACACAGGTATGCACAGACATACACCAAACATGAACATACAGTGCCCATGAACACTGCTCCAAGCTAGGACCCTCTGGTCAGACTGCTGCCTGGGTTAGAATTCTTCACCCCCGCCCCCCACCACTTCCTAGTTCTGTGATCTTGGACAAGCGACTGAATCTCCCTGTGCCACAGTTTCTTCTTGTAGAAACTGGGAAAGATCACAGTACCTACCTCCTTAGAGTCATTGTGAAGGTCAATGTGAGGTACCACATCTAAGGCACCCAGACGTAAGGGTCAACAGCATTAGGTATCACTGTCCAGTTTGGCGGATGAGCTGAATGCATGTGGACACATGGACTCAGTCTACACGCAGGCACAAAAGGAGCTACACTGGTTACTTTCAGGCATATACCAGAGCACTACAATTCTTTGAGACATTGTCTGGAAATCTAGAAATCATCTCCTTGCCCTTTAAGGCATTTTAACCCTCACATTCCTCTGCTTTTCCAAGAATGTCAATCTTCTCAAGATGTACGTGAGAGACATGGCCTTCCCTCGAGGGAGACACGCAAATGCTTCATAAACAGCCATAATGTGGGGCTCTGCCATGAGGAAGAAACAGCAGACACGCTAGACAGCACGGTCCTGGCTGCAGCCAGGAGGAAGGAGCACTCGCTCCATGCCTGCTGCCCAGTGAGACTTCAGGCTCCTTGCAGACAAGGGCCGTGGGTTGTTGGCTGTTGTGTGCCTGGTGGCCTTCACAAAGCTGAGCGAGGGACAGACACACAGACAGGTGGGATTTGGGTGGTCAGGGCAGCAGTCGTCTTGGAAGCTAAAGTCTGAGCCAAGCCCCTCAGGCCCAGCATGGACAGGGCAAGGCCCAGCATGGGGGGAGGTCAGTCGGCCAGCTGGGTTGAGAAGGCGATGAAGCCATGGGCAGATAGGTAGTAGAGGTGAATGTCTCTGCCCCCTGTGGGCCTCCTGTAGCAGGAGCAGTGCAGACCCTCTAGCTGGGGCAGAACAAGGCTGGTGCTTCCTTCGAGTCCTTGAGCCTCTATAGCTGAAACCCAAGCAGAGTTTTGGGATTCTGCGTGGTGGTTGCTGAGGAAGGTTTATGGATTTGACAGGGTGCATGCCACAGGGAGACAGTTCTCACTCAGCACTTCCTGTCCCCAGCAGAGGCTCACAGGGGACAGCCCCAGCAAAGGAGACCCCCGAGGCACTTTGAGGATAGCAATCAGAGGTCGGGCTGGCTGGATGAAGCCCAGGCCTGTTGCCCACCAAGTCTCTGTAGGCTGTAGTCTGGCCCCTCTCTCCACCCCTGGGCTATGGAGGCCAGCCGACACAGACAACACCCCATGCGTCCACTAGCAACACCCACCTCCCTGTGCCAACACTCCATCCAACAAGAAAGGACTGAGAAGGCAATGCTTAACCCCAAGGAGTGAGTTTTATAGAAGGAGTGCCATTAACAGTTTCACAGCAGGCCATTGAGGAAATATGTTCCTGCCCCTTCAAATGGACAGTCACTGCAGAAATGTGTAGAGCAAGACTTTGTCAAGGGGGTGTTTCCAGGTCTCCCGGTGTCTAAATAGCAGAGCTGGAATGGGAACTGAGAACCGATTCTTTCCACATCCGCCCACTGAGCATCAAGGTCGCAGCCAGGAAAGAGGCGTGTGGAAGCATGTAAGCCTCACGTGGTGTAGACAGCGCATGGCCACTCCACCGCCCCCTGCGACAGGCTGCCAGCTGGCCAGCTGCCTTCCATCGTATCTACTGTGTGAGCTTCTCCAGCTCTGCTTTGTTTTCTCTTCCTCAGCATCCGCCCCATGGCACCCCATGGCATGCAGTGGTGGCTGATGTTGTCACAGTACCCTGAGGTTAACAGGTCCTCCCTCCAGCTGCCCTCATGGTGGCAGCCTCACCTGCATTCCTGCCATTCACTGGACACGGCCCCAGACCCTCAAAGCCCGTCCAAGACTGTGGGGGAGGAGTAAACAACACCGCCCGGCTGGGAGGAGATGCTGAATTTAATGAGCTCTATTTGAATTGCAGGGCTGTGATTCCTCTTACCTTTCACATGAACTCACAGGCGGATTAAAGTGAAATAAAACCTACCATTTGAGGTACATTCTCAGCTGATTGGAAACATGCATTACGTCCCCATGACCAGGCCATGAGAAGGAAGTTATCATCTTTCTTTGGAGTTTGTAAACGCTTTATGGCTGAGGCGGCTTTAATCCTGCTGAGGGAAAAAGGATCCAGGAATCGGTTGTTCCCATTTACCTTTGTTTTCCAATCACACGCTACAGTGGGAACAAAACATCCTAAGGGAGGGGATGTGGGGAGCCAGGCCATCCCTGACAGAAGAGTTTGATTATTTTCTTCTCTAGGCATGTGAACTGAAGGAGTATTAGAGTGCCATTTGGCAAGGGGGCTCGTTTCACGAAAATGTGCACCCCAG